TCATAATGCCATAAAAAAAAAAAAATTCAGAGAAGTAGTAGGTCTTTGGAATCAAAAACTTGTTAGCAAAAATTGAAAAAGGGACAATTTAGTGAAGATTAAGTTGAGGAACTCTGAGGAAGCAGAACAAAAAGGCAAAGATGGAAGCTGAAAAGAAAAAGTAAGATTAGACAGCCTGTCCAAAAGAAGGTAGACATCTCAATTACAGGAACCGCAGAAAGTCAGAAAAGAGAGTGGAGGAGAGGAGATCATCAACTGTATAATTCAGTATTTCCTAGAACTAAAGGGCATGAGTTTCCAGATTAAAGGATGAGGAATGGTAATAGCTTCAGAATTTTCTTTTTTTTTAAATTTTTTTTTTTCAACGTTTTTATTTATTTTTGGGACAGAGAGAGACAGAGCATGAACAGGGGAGGGGCAGAGAGAGAGGGAGACACAGAATCGGAAACAGGCTCCAGGCTCTGAGCCATCAGCCCAGAGCCTGACGCCGGGCTCGAACTCACGGACCGCGAGATCGTGACCTGGCTGAAGTCGGACGCTTAACCGACTGCGCCACCCAGGCGCCCCAGCTTCAGAATTTTCAATAGCAACACTAGAAGCAGAGAAACAATGGGGCAATGTCTTAAAAACTCTGAAGAAACATTGTTTCCAAGCTAGAGTTCTTTTCCCAGCCAAACTATTAATCAAGGGAAAGGATGGAGTAAAAAACTTGCACACAGATTAAGTCTTAAAATATTTACCTCCATGCTCTCTTTCTCAGGATGCTACTAGACAATATTCTCCATTAAAAGGAGGGAGTAAACCAGGAAAACAGAAAACATTCTGGATATGGGAAACAGAGGGGGTGTTCAACAGGAGGCCCCAGGATGGTCGCTGTGTCCCTGCACAGAGGGACCCTGGGCCTGACTGGAGCCAGCCAGGAGGCTCCACCCACAGAATACCCAAGGGGAATGAAGGTTATGAGAGGAAACTTACAAACAAACAGAGCTTTAGGAGATGACATACTTAAAAATAATGGTTAATTAACCAACAGTAGTAAGACAATTTCAGGAATAAGAAAAAGCACAGAAAAGAAAAAGTAGTCCTGGTTTATTCCATCGCTCAGCTCAGAATAGCAAACTTTGTCAAAATAAACACTGGATGCTGATCATACCAAGATTATAACTTCTTTGGGAGCATGGGGGATTAGAAATGGAGGCAGGAAGAGGTGAAAGAAAAGAAAACAAAACGTTTGTCTTCCATAATGGGTCAAATGATCATGTCTAAAACTGAAAAACCAAGAAGTATCAGTACATGCTTGTTGTTTATAAATATGGAGGTACACACCAAAAGAAACTAAAAGAGTTAAAGATTGTTGTATTTGGGAAAGTATATAGTGGGACTGCTTTTTTTCTGAGTGAGCCTGGTAGAACAAGTTAACCATGTGAAGGAGTGACTTTGGTGACAATAAAACCTTAAAAAAGTGAACAGGTTATGAAGGATAAAGTAGTGGCAGCCACCACAGGCAACTGGGAAAGAGCCCGACTGTGAAAGGGAGCAGAGAGAGAAGGATGTGGATGGCGTGGGTGCTTTGATGTAGAAGAGACTAAAGCAGGGACCATGTGCAGATGGGAAAGATCCAGTTGAATGAGGGAGACTGAAATGGGAAGCCTGAGGGTGATGGACGAACAGGGTCTCCCACTAGCACATGCTGGGACTCTCCTCACAGGCAGAGCGATGCTCTGACAGCTGTGGACAAGAGGACAGAGTGCAGCAATTGGAGGGTCTGTAGGTCTGGTTACGGAAGGAGAGGAAAACTCTCTTTTCTCTTTGAGGCAGAGTCATCAGTTGAGAGTCGGGGAAACAGGAGGCTGAGGAGGAAAGTGCAAATATGACCTATTCCCACTGAGAGTGGGAGGGGAATGGCACCAAGAGCTGTAGATACCACGCATGTGACAAATGCCTAGTTGAAGCACCTGTAAGTTGGGGCAACTTTAATGCCCCACATGGCATCCTGAGAAAAAAATGAATCTTCTAAAAACCAATGCACAGAAAAAAAGGATAGAAGGAAACAAAATATTAATAGTGACTATGTCTGAATGCTAGAACTATAAGTTTTCTACTCTTCTACCATTCTCTTTTTTAAGCTTGAAAAGTACGCATGTACTATATTATGACGGAAACAGTAATCTTATTTTTCAAAGGGAATCCTAAGTTTTGACTCATGGAACTGAGCATCACATATTGATGATACTGTCCTCAAGAAATAAATCTTCAGGAGCACCTGGGTGGCTCAGTTGGTTAAGCGTCCAACTTCGGTTCAGGTCATGATCTCACAGCCCGTGAATTTGAGCCCCACGTCGGGCTCTGTGCTGACAGCTCAGAGCCTGGGGCCTGCTTCAGATTCTCTCTCTCTCTCTCTCTCTCTCTCTCTCTCTCTCTCTCTCTCTGCCCCTCCCCTGCTCATGCTCTGTCTCTCTGTCTCTCTGTCTCTCTGTCTCTATCTCTCAAAAATAAATAAAACATTAAAAAAATTTTTTTAAAGAGATAAATGTTTATAGCAACACATCAGAACAACCTAAATGTTTATTCTTTAATGGAGGGCTGGTAAAATAAGTAATTATGGTACACTTATACAGTTGAATTCTATGCACTTGTTAATAGGAGCTGCTTTTATGCTAATACGGAAGCATCTCCAAGATATATGGTGAACAGATAAAAACAAAATAATCAACAGTGTATACAGTGTACTTCTACAAAAAGTTAATATTAAGCATAAATTTTTATATAGAAGTATCAATAAAAAGAATGAGGTAGATGTATACAGTTGACCTTTGAACAACACAGGTTTGAACTGCGAGGGTCCACTCACATGTGGATTTTTTACAGGACAGTACTGTAAATGTGTTTTCTCTTCCTTATGATCTTCTTAATAACATTTTCTTTTCTCTAGCTTACTTCATTGTTAGAATACAGCACATAATACATGTAACATATAAAATATGTGTTAATTGAGGGGCGCCTGGGTGGCTCAGTCAGTTAAGCATCCGACTTCAGCTCAGGTCATGATCTCACAGTTTGTGGGTTTGAGCCCTGCGTTAGGCTCTGTGCTGATGGCTGGGAGCCTGGACTGAACCCTGCTTCAGATTCTGTGTCTCCTTCTCTCTCTGCCCCTCCTCCCTTGATCATGATGTCTCTCTCTCAAAACTAAATAAACATTAAAAAAAATTTTTTTTAATAAAATAATGTGTTAATAGACTCTGTTATCAGTAAGGCTTCTGGTCAACAGTAGGCTATTAGTAGTTAAGTTTTGGGGGAGTCAAAATTATATGTGATTTTCGACTGTGCAGTGCTCGGCACCCCTAACCTTGGCATTATTCAAGAGTCAAATGTACATGCTGATATGGAAACATCTTCAAAATATATTGTAAATTGTAAAATTTACAATTATTATAAATAATTGTAAAATGAGGGTATGCAATGGTGTGTACAGTATGCTCCCATTTTGAAAAAAAAATGCAAGTGACTATACATATAAAATGCATAATATAGAAACTGGCAAGGATAGTTGTCTCTAGGAGGGGGGTTTCTTCAAATAATGGTATGGTAAATGTTCTCATACAACCAGAAGAGTAACTGCTTCATGCTGGTATGAAAGTACTATGTAGTGTGGTACACAGAGTTGCCTACCTGTTCAAGCATCACGATAGAGTCTCGGAGCACTCCTTTTAAACGATGGGCTTTGTTCTTCTCAATACTTTCTGCTCTTGACAGCATACCAGAGGCTAAACTGAAAAAAAAATACCATCTTAAAAATAAGGGGAATAGCTTCTAATCTTGTCATTTCTAGAAATCATCAGTGTCCTATGAATTTGCAAACAAAGCAAAAAATTAAATTAAAAAAACCTTATGACTAAAGTATAGTTAGCAAACCAAAATCTCTAAACCAGAATTCAGTTTTCTGCAGCTAGAGAATTACTGAAATAATAACAGGTTGGGGGGAAAAAAAGACTTACTGCAGAGATTTCTCTTCTTGGAGGTGGAGACGGTAAAGGGACTGAGCAGCAGATTCTATCCTCGACAGCTTCAGAAACAGCGTCACATTCAACAGAACTAGCAACAGCAAACTAGGCAGAGCAAATTAATTGTACCTGGTTAATCCACTCTTATCCAGACCTAAAGCATTGCCATGTGCAGAACAGACACGCAAAACCTTTAAAAATGTACGTTGTCCAGTCCGTGAGTTCGAGCCCCGCGTCGGGCTCTGTGCTGACCGCTCAGAGCCTGGAGCCTGTTTCGGATTCTGTGTCTCCCTCTCTCTCTGACCCTCCCCCGTTCATGCTCTGTCTCTCTGTCTCAAAAATAAATAAACGTTAAAAAAAATTTTTTTAAATGTACGTTGTCCAGACCAGTTTCCAATTATTGTTATTGTTTAAATCAGTTATCTCTATTTTATGGTATGAGGTAATTAGGTAAAAAGCAGATGGTGAGGAAAAAGTTAGAAGGTAACTAGAGTGACAAAAAGTCCTCAAAATGGCAGGTTGGGATTGTCCCTGACATCTCTTCTCTCTGCAAGGAATCCCAGCCAGTGCTGATGTGCGACTACCAGCTTAGAAATCTACCAGGTAACCTTGAGAGATCTATTTTTGGGTGCTTTCAGCTTAAGCAATTATACCCCCATTATGCTGCACTTCAAAAAGGAAATGAAGATCAATATGGACTTGATCTTATGTAGATAGTCATACACCTTATTCCCCGTGAAAGCCAAAACAAATTTTTGGAATTACTATTCAGAAAAAATTTCTTCTAGTTCAACTTAGACAAAGGAAGTATCAAATCCCAAATATGCGTGAATTGCATCATATATAAAATCTTACATGCTAAATGGATGTACTGTATTGGTTCTCACAGCAGCCTTTCAACTGAATGGAAGTATTTCTTATTACATATATATACAAATATATAGGTGGCATCATATCTTTCCTATTCTGTTAAAATATTGAGTTCCCTTAAAAATACATAGAATTCATCTTTACCTGCCAAAAGAAGATTGTTTAAAAAAATGAAAACTAAGGAGGAACAAGAAAACCAAATCTATGAAATTATTGTGGCACTGAAATGGTATATAGATCAACATTTCAACCTCTGACTATAAATTTTCTACATAGTAATACAAAAGATCACTGCTAATATTTAATATTCAAAATTATTAGAGCAAACCGACTTAAACAGAATATGAAAGCCTTTCTTAAGCTCAAAGGTATATCAAACATTTGTATGTTCTGAAAGTTATAATTAGAAAAAACAGAGGATATAAGAACTTCATTCCAAAGTATATTCACCAAGAGTGTATCACCCAGTCAGAACCAATTCAATTAAATCTAATGGACTACCTCAATATTAAACTACATCCATGTAGATAATAGTAGTTGAAATATGTCTGCCTAAGTAGATTCCTATAGAATACTCTGAGGTTCTTGCTCACTGCTCGAGACCTTCTGACCCAATCTCTGGCACTGAGGCCTAGAAATCTGCATTTTCACAAGTGATCCTAGAGGGTAAGGATCATTGGTCTAATCAGATAGAGCAAAATAGCACTACTGGCATTTCACCAGCCTGCATATATAAATATTCTCTTTAAATCTATGGAACTTCCAGTAAAAACCTATGATGGTAGAAATAAATCAGATTAATTTTTGAAAAACAAAACATTTATTGAATGTGTACTTGGGGTATTCCCTCAGATTTAATAATTCTCCTGAAAATCATACATCAAAAACTGTCAGACTGAAGTATATAAGAGACAGAGCATGAGGGAGACAGAGGGAGAGAGGAAGACACAGAATCCGAAGCAGGACTCAGGCTCTAAGCTGTCAGCACAGAGCACCACGCAGGGCTTGAACTCACCAACTGCGAGATCATGACCTGAGCTGAAGTGGAATATTTAATCGACTGAGCTACCCAGGTGCCTCAAATAGTGGCAATTTCTACACAATAACATACAAATGCATTCAAATCCTTTTGGAAACCATTAAAAGATAAGTGAAGGCACAAGCAAAATAAGCATGCAAAACAAATACTTACAAAATACTCATCACCACAATAAGGGCAGTATTACAGATTTCCATTTCCTTTTTCTTTCCTGCAGATCACAAACACACAAAAAACTTACATTAGAACAGGATTGTGATTAACACTGGTTAAAATTTAACTTCATTTGAAAAAAAATGGAGAAGAAATTTTGTACATGAATTGTAAAAACAACTTGATATAGGATGAATTCCCAGCACCCTTTTTTTGATTTCTAATATCCTGACTAATGTGAAACTAATGTATGAAAAGAAAACCTATGTTTGGCCTACATTACAATTAATTTACTCTAAATAAACAAGCAATTCAATACATCATGTATGATCTCTAGTGAAGTTCCATCTCTGCAAATAATATTTGAACTGGGTTTATATACAATGCTTCCCTCCTTAATTTTTTTAATCACCCTCACCTGTTCTCTGTTGCCCAAACTTTTAAATTCCAAAACTAAAGAGGTTAAATTTAAATAGTAAATAAACATTCACACTAAGATATAAGCCTCAGAAGAGGATTTGATCATGTAGAATGAGGATGACAGTTTTATAGTTCTAAGAGAAAGGGAGTAAGAGTAGAGGCAAGATGTCTTCAAATTTGAAAATGGGGATAGTAAGAGTCAAATTCCATCTTTGCAATTTGCTGGGTTGGACCTGACAGGTACAGAAGGACTGAAAGCATATCATCAGTTTAGTACTTTCAAGGGTTAGAAGTCAAATGTCTGTAAATGCTAGGTAGGAAGTTAACAGAATGAAGCAGCCAGCAGCCAGGGACAGTGGTGGGGACTGGTGACTTGGGAGCACATGCTCTAATGGCACAGCTTCTACTAAGCTCCAGCAACTGTTGCTGTGAAGAGATTTGGGTCCAGAGCTGTCAGATGTGAGTTTTTACATAAAAACTCCCACCTTTTAAAATATCATGTGGGCCAAATAAAACACCTCTATTGGCCATATGCCTGCCATTTTGCAACTGCTTCTTTACACTTACACATTAGTTATACTGAAGGAAGTCCGAGTTTGATAAACATTATCAGAAAAGGAGAGGAAAAAGGGAAACCTCCTTTCTGATGTGTCCTATAAACAAGAGATGTATTCTGCTTCATATAAGTAAACTAAAATCTTCCATCTGTTTACTACATAATAGCTACCTGAAATATCCCCTTTGGCATCCAAGCCCACATCTCCAGAAGAGCGCTGAGAAGAAAGTTTAGGAACTGTTTCTGCTGTTCGGTTGAATGTTCGCCTTCTCCTTCGTAAGCCACTAAGTTTTCCAGCGTCTTCAACGGACTGATTTAACACAGATTCTTCCGCTAATAAGTTTGATTCTAAGAAGGAAAAAAAAAATCTTTAGACAGCAGAGAAACCTTCTTGACTATAAGATGTGAGGGTAGGGAGGGGATTGCTTTGTTTTCAGTTTTGTTTTTAATTTTTTTTAATTGTTTTATTTATTTTGAGAGACACAGAGAGCGTGAGCAGGGGAAGAACAGAGAGAGAGGGAGACACAGAATCCAAAGCAGGCTCCAGGCTCTGAGCCTGATGTGGGGCTCAAACCCACAAATCATGAGATCATGAACCATGAGATCACAACCTGAGCCAAAGTCGGACACTTAACTGACTGAGCCACCCCGGCGCCCCTTCAGTTTGTTTTTTTAAAGCCTTGGTAACTTTCTTTAACTATTACTTAGGCTCTTGTGGCCTAGATTCAAACCTTACTATTAATAAAAAGTTTTGGAGGATAAAGTGATCCTATAATGAGGCTTCACTATTCTAGGAAGAATGAACTGTATTAATAAATGATGGAATCATCAGAGCAAATTCACCATGTGCTATATTAAATATTAACATAATGATTTCAGTTATGGAAACAACAGGCTACCCACTTACACTGGATCATTAGAAAGATTTCCAAGAAAGACTGTGGTACTTGATTGTCAATATCAAAGGAAGGAGGAGCATATAATAGTTCTAGTTTATAAATGAGGTTTGCAAAAAGTGAGTACTGGTAAGAAAAATCTGCAAACAACCTAAAAACCTCATTTTTGTCTTTTTTTTGACCTTTTCAACTAATCAGATTTTTCATTAAAGCCTGTTACAGTGGTGTGAAAACTAATTTTTGAATAACATTTTCTTTGCTCCTGATTAGGAGTTTAATAATGAATAGCCAAGAGAGAAGAGCAAGAAAAATAACCAACAAACTAGATAATCAAGGCTTACTTTACCCTGAGCTGACTGACCCCAGCTTTTCTTTAACCAGAATTAATTATGTTTATGTATATATATTTTTTCTCATGTTTTATTTTAAGGAATATCCAAACAGAACTATATCACTTCCCCAGTCTAGTCCCTACCTCCACTAAATCCATACACGTACGTGTTACCATTGCTAAGTGGGCCTGCATAAACCCAAAGAAGCTGCATTAATAAGGATTGCGGGGTAGAGGTGGGGCCACCAAGGAACACCAAGTGCATATTTGTGGTAAGTTACGCAGTTTCTCACTACAGTCAGCCTTCTTGGCTCCTTGCAGGGAGTGACAGCTCCTCACTGTGTGATCTTGGACAAGTCACTTAACCTCTCTGTTTCAATATTTATTCTTTAGTAAAATGGAAAAAAAAGTAATAGTACCTACTGCACAGTATTGTAATAGGTTGATATTTATAAAGCATGCAGAACATGTCGGGCATATAATAAGCATAATATGAATGTTTGTTAGACCAATGAAAATTAAAGTTTCCAAATTCCAAGTCAGGTAGTTAGGATCACTTCAGTGGGAGTCAATTCAGCGTCATCTGCTGTGAATCCAAATGAGGTTATCAATCTGTTTTGTTAATATCTTTACAAAAATAGATAAACTAAGAAATTTACAAACCAAGCTGTCTGAAATAGTCCTCCAATGAACTCCAGGAATTCTTTTCAATTAGAGATTTGATAATGGCCCATGGTTGTTTTCTGTACTTCACATCTGTAGAAACTCTAATAAATTACGGAGGAAAAAAGTTTATTTAAAGGATAGAATTTAGTTCTATTATAGTTGTATTTATAATCCAAATGTAAGATATGTCCACTGGAAAGCCAAAGGACTCAAAGTCATTAAGACTATGAAAGAAAATTTATGCACTGATGACAACTTTTTAGAAAATTACTATATGCTGCTAATAATTTCATGAAATTTTCCTTCTAAGTACTTGGCATTTTATTTTTTCCTTTCTCTAGCCCTGAATTTTCTTTACTTAAACAGCAATAAAGGCTCAAAATAAATTCTAAGTTTTCTAAATGCCTTGTATAAAAAAATCTCTAGTGGTCATAAATTAGGTAAAAGTAACTACATTAACTAAGACCAGGCAAAGCACATGGTGGCACATCACTATCTTTAATACACCAACATTTCTTATTTCCATTGCAGCAATGTGCTCACCATGTGCTCCTCAAGAACTCACAGCTGCCTTGACATAAAACAGGGTCCTGTGACTAGTTTTGGCCACTGGACGGTGAACACAGTTCTAGAACTCTCTTTTCCTGTAGCAACTGAAACAACACATATTCTGGATGGTGCAGCTACAGAATGTCAAAGTGTTCATCAGTTTGTGGCCTTGAGTAAGGAGCTCCACCCCTCTGCTGACCACTGGTGGTCATATAATTTGAGCAAGAAATAAAGTTTGGTTGTCTAAGGCTACTGCTAAGATTTTAGGATTGACATGTTCCAGAATAAAATCTCACCTATCCTGACTAATATTTCATTTACGATATTCATTTACAATAGCTCACCTCAGCCGGCATTTCTGTTTTGAGGATCGGATGATATGGTATCTGTTCAGGGTATAGAAGTAATCATGGTAGGGAACATCATGTGTCAGTACTTCTGAATCTACCAAATAAAATTGTGCTTCCCGACTTTCTTTATACAGTGTCTGTCAAAATAAGATTAAACATTTTTTTTGCATGTTCAAGTTTAATATATCAAATTCCTTGCCAATTTAGAACACATATACTAAAATTACAAAAGACATGAGAAGCCTATATACAAACCCAGAAGAGCCTTCGTGTTGGCTATGCAATCTATGAATTGAGAAGATGGGACCTGCAGAAAGAGTATTTGTTGCCTGTCATTTCATTGTACCATTATTTTTTCCTTCTTTTAGGTATGAGGAGGAGAGTCTCTTATGTATGTCATTAGTTTATAAAAATTTTTAAATGTTCCTGATAGGGGAACAATTTAAAATTCAAACTGGATGAAGCAAAGACCCACCCCAAAATTCATAAAAATTTAACAATCACCCTTCACCAAAAAAGTGAAGGAAGCTTGGGGCACCTGGGTGGGTCAGTTAGGTGTCCGACTTTGGCTCAGGTCATGATCTCGTGGTTCTTGGGTTCGAGCCCCGCATCAGGCTCTTTGCCAACAGCTTAAATCCTGGAGCATTCTTTGGATTCTGTGTCTACCTCTCTCTCTGCCCCTCCCCCTCTCATGCTCTGTCTCTATCTCTCAAAAATAAATAAAAATGTTAAAAAAAATTTTTTTTTCAGTGAAGAAAGGGGACAACCAAAGAAAACACTGCCTACCTTAACAGGATTTGGAGTGGTTACTGGTCAAACCTTCCTCATTTTAACCATACCCTTTCAACCTATCCTGTAACATTATCAAAGATTCTCCAATGTCAAAATACCAAACTCTTCTTAAATAAGTCCTTTTAAACACTGGACAAAAACCGTAATAGTATAACTAGTTCAGATGTTAAGATATTTTCTAACTATTTGCAGAGCAGATACACTATACCTCAACATAAATTGGTCAAACACAAACTCTACTATAAAGACAGTGCCACACTGGCCAGAGTAGAGCACTGAATATCTTATCATCTCTTCCCATACATCACAGCACCCCTCTAGTTATTTGGCTATAACTCTTGGCATGATCCCGTATATTGGATTCCAGTAGTGTTCTTTATTAAACCATTTATTATGGAAAAGTTAAAACATACACACGAGTAGAAATGAGGTATAATGAACCCTCATAAACTCAACAGCCAGCTTCAACAACGTTAACTCTTGCCCAGTCCTGCTTCATCTGTACCCCATCCCCACATTCCCTCCCTCTACCACCATGCTCTCCCTGGCTAGATTACTTTTAAAGGATACCCCAGATATCAGAATAATTTTATTCATAAATATTCCAGTGTATCTCTTTATTTCTTCAGTGTGTCTCTTTAAAAGATATTCTTTTCTTTAAAATACAGCTACAATACCATTAATATATGTAAAAAATTAGTAATTCCTTAAATCTCCTAAACATATTTTTAGTTGGTTTGTTTGAATTAGGGTTGGTTGATTTGGTTGATATGCCTCTTCAGTCTTTTTTAATCTGTAATAGTTTCTCCTCCCTTTTGTTTTGCCATTTATTTCTTAAAATTGTCTTGTTAACTGGGGACAATGACAGGTTTCTCTCTTCCCACATATATGATTCTTTTGGAATACTGATGGAGGAAACATACCTGCTTTTCAGTGGCAGTGGTGCACTTTCCAGTAAGTGGATTATTAAGGATTATAGTGTAGGTCATGGTTCTCAGTTGATCACCTCCAGGTTCTATTTTCCAAGGGGTGGACACTACATCTAATCACAGCAAACGTAAAGAGTTGGTTCGAAAACTCTGAAGAGTATGACTTGAAATGGAATCAGAGGTAGGGCTTTTTTTTTAAGTATAATTAACATACAGTGTTGTATTAGTTTCAGGTGTACAAAAAAATGACTTAACAGTTCTATACTTTACCCAGTGCTCATCATGGTAAATGTACTCTTAATCCCCTTCACCTATTTCACCCATCCCCCCAAACACCTCCCCTCCAGTTACCACCAGCTTGTTCTCTGTATTTGAGTCTGGGGTTTTATTTGTCTTTTTGTTTTCTCTTTTGTTTTCTTAAATTCCACATATAAGTGAGATCATATGGTATTTGCCTTTCTCTGTCTTATTTCACTTTGCATTAATACCTTCCAGGTTCATCCATGTTGTTGGAAAGGGCAAAATCCCATTCCTTTTTTTATGGCTGGGCAATATTCCATTACACACACACACACACACACACACACACACACACACACACGTACGTATACATACACACACACAGACACACCAACACCATCATCACCTCTTCTTTATCCATTCATCTGTTGATGGACACCTTGGCTGCTTCCAGATCTTTGCTATTGTAAATAATGCTGCAATAAACACGGGGGTGCATATATCTTTTTGAATTGATGTTTTCATTTTCTTTGGGTAAAAATCCAGTAGTGGAATTACTGAATCAATGGTAATTCTATTTTTAATTTTTTGAGGAACCTCCATACTGTTTTACATAGTGGCTGTGCCAGTTTGCACTCCTACCAACAGTGTACGAGGGTTCCTTTTTCTCCACATCTTCAACACTTGTTATTCCTTGTGTTTTTGATTCCGGCCATTCTGATAGGTGTGTGGGGTATTTCACTGTGGTTTTGATTTGCATTTCCCCAATGATTAATGGAAAGAAATAGTTTTTAATTATTTAAATTTTTATTTTTGACCAGTCCTAATATCCTTTTGACAGTGTTATCATTTTAACATTAAAGAATAGTAAAATTAAATGTAAGGCCCTCTTCTTGTATGTGACATATTCCCCATCTTTGATCCATTTACTTCTAAATTATTGTCTATTAACACACTTTCTTTCTTTTCTTTAGAAAAGAAAATTAAAAGTTGTTTCATCTGTAGGCTTCATTTTAAAGTCCCCAGTACCTGTGAAGAGAAATATTGGCACCAACCTTATTAAACACAAACAGAACAACACTTTAACATTCCCATCATTGAGGACAAAACCTTGAAAGACATTTGCCATTACGCAACAATAAGACCTTGATCCCAACTTGTGGAAAAATCATGTAATGAGAAATCATGTAATGTTAATGGCTTATCTGTCAAAATCTTTAATCAAGAAGGGGGCTATGAAATGTAATGACATAGCCTTTTCCAAGTTGAGAAAGCTATAGGATAATCTCTGTATTAATGGCAAGATCTTGTTAAAAATTCTCTCTTAGGGGCATCTGGGTGGCTCAGTTCAGGGGTGGCCAACTTCGGCTCAGGTCATGATCTCATGGTTCATGAGTTCAAGCCCGGCGTCGGGCTCTGTGCTGACAGCTCAGAAGCCTGGAGCCTGATTCAGATTCTGTGTCTCCTTCTCACTCTGCCCCTCCCCGACTCACACGCTATCTCTCTCTCTCAAAAATAAATAAACATTTAAAAAAATGAAATAATATATATAAATATATAATTCTTATTTTCCTAATAACTACACAGTGAGTAAAAATAACTTTGAAGAGAAATATATTTTTAGAACATAGCACAGGTCATTTAACAAGGCAAAGACTACATAGGTATAGGTAATGGCATCGTGAACTCTTTTGCAAAGATCTGACTAAATCACCTAATGCTGTTCACACAAATGGACTTAGGCAATTAGTATACTTGACTGCTATTTGTCAACATCTTAAAATACAGAAGACTTATCTAATCTATCAACCATCACCAAAAAATGAAGCAAAGCTTTGTGATATAGACAATTTTACTCAACTTCTTTCATATAGCTAGGCCTTGAGATTTTTTGAGGGACCCTGAAGCTGCATTTTGAGTATGTGGAAAAAAATCTTACAACTAAACTAAAAAGGCAGTATCACAAACTATAGAATCTACCCTACAGAATTATATATATATAGTTATTTAGTTATTTTTAATAATCTCTACACCCAACATGGAGCTTGAACTCATGACCCCGAGATCAAAAGTTGCATGCTCTTCCAACTGAGCCAGCCAGGCATCCCTACCATACAGAATTTGCTGTAAAAAATAATTTATTTAATTGTCCATGAAAGAAGATACAACATTTATTCTAAAATACTTTTCAAGCAATTATTTTGGTCCTATGTCAGTCTGTTTCAAAAAAATTATACAAACAATCCATTGTTAATTAGCAACATAATTTTAAGGTATCATTGGATTCTGCTATAAAATTGCACACTACTCAACAAAAAAACTATTAACAAGGGTAAAAGTATGTCTTCCACTTGTATTGTAACCAATGTTACCAACAATCCTACTGAATCATGTACCAGAACATCATATAATTAACAACATTTTGGACTAGTCAAGCCCCCCAATACCTAAGTAAAGCTCATCATGATATAAAAAATCAGGGATGAAATTATTTTTAAAATACAACAATGTACAAAGGACACATCAGCCACTTGATATACTGAATTAAAGTAATAAAAAGCAGGATCTGCAGAATCCTTTATGAATCCTTTGATGTAATAAAGTTTTAAAATTGGCAAATCTTCATTCCATTAGGATGGCTGTTATCACAAAGACTGAAAATAACAAGTGCTGGCAAGGATATGGAGAAATTGGAACCTTTATGCATTGCTGGGGAGAATGTAAAATGATGCAGCCATTCTGGGGGGAATGTAAAATGATGTAGCCATTATGGAAAACAGTATGGCCATTCCTCAAAAAGCAACCATAGAGTTACCTAAGGATCCAGTAAGTCCACTTCTACATATACACCCAAAGGAATTGAAAACAGGGACTCAAACAGATATTTGTATATCAGTGTTCACAGCAGTATTACTCACAATAACTAAAAAGTAGAAACAACTCAAAACTCCATCAATGGATATGAATGGATACACAAAATATGTATATACATAGAATGGAATGATATCCAGCCTTAAAAAGGAATGAAATTCTGACACATGCTACAAGGATAAAACCTGAAGACACGCTAAGTGAAATAAGCCAGACACAAAGGGACAAATATTGTATGATTCCACTTATTTGAGGTACCTAAAGTAGTCAAATTCGTAAAGACAGAAAGTAGAATGGTGGTCATTAGCAGTTGGGAGAAGGAGGAATAGAGATTTATTTTTTAATAAGTACAGAGTTGCAGTTTGGGAAGATGAAAAAGTTCTGAAGATGGATGGTTTTGATGATTATACAATGTCAATGTGCTTAATGCTACTGAAACGAACACTTAAAAATGGTTAAAATGGTATATGTTATGTTATATACATTTTACCACAACAACAAAAAAATGGTCAATTTTGGGAATGGCTATATGGGTTTTATTATACTATTCATGCAACTTTTCTGAAAGTTTATAATTTTCAAAATTAAAAAGTGGAATAAAAAGACTTAAAAACTGAGTTTTGAATTACAAAAGCAGTGTCATACAACTGCTAACAAAGATTTAAAAGAACACCTATTTAGAAGTTCCCTAATGAAAAAAAAAGATCAAGTAGTGCTGAAATTTTAGTTTAGTGCCAAAATTAAATTCATAAATAATTGACTATACAAAATCTTTTCATGAAAAAAGAAATACTTCTTAGTATTTTTAAAAAGAAGCCTTTGAAACGTATTCTCAAGAAATAGAACTTTGATTACCAGGTAACAACTTCAGAAGATAGCAGAATGGTGTACAGTAAGCAGATTCTCTTTGGGGGCAAAACTTCTGATGAATTGTAGGTCTAAACAGCACCATTCCTATTACTGTCTATACTTGTAATTAGCCAGAAGCTTTTGCTTCCAAAAGCCATTTATAACATCAGATAGCAAACACAGTCATCCATATTGAAGCTAGATAAATATCAGACACCTGGTACAGTTGTGAGTCAAAGAACAAACTTCATTTAGTACCAGCATGGAATAACATACTTGTTCCTCGGGGGTCTTTGCAGCCATAAACATGACAGGGCAATATCAACAAGCATCATCTTAGAAAATTAAGAAAAATAACATATCCAACTATTTTGAAATATCAAGTTCTCCAGGTAGACATAAATAGCAAGAAAATACAAAACAGATTTTGAAGAGATATAGTTAAATATAAGCTACTGTGTGAAGAGGAAAATTTATATTCCTCAGATATTCCACATTTTTAAAACTAGAAGAACAGAAAAAAATGATTTTTTAAACAGAGAGTTCTTAATTACAAGACTCAATTGCTATCAATTAGAAATCACTTTGCTATACTACTCTGAATAAGAATAAATTATTTTTTGTATCTAGAATCCATATCAATGATATAATCTATGAATACATAGAAGTTTCAAATAAAAGAATAATATCTAATGGTTAATAAAGTGGCTCAATTATAAACTATATTTAAAACTGACTGTAGAATAACTTTCTCTTTGACTATGTCAAATGATTAAACTTACATGAATCTCTGCTGCTGCTGTTTTATAATGTTTTATAGCAATCTAAACCATGTGCTCCCAAGGTTTATAAAATATTTTTTGATATTTAGGATAAATTCAGTTTCAAACTATAAGCTTATTTGAGATGTTTAGCAAAATAGAACTTTTAACACATAATCAGTGCAATCCTTTTTATGAGTCTAACTAATTTCCTAACTGGACTATTTTTTTTTTTTTTTGGTATTTTCATTGAGATATACCATAACCATTGCAATCTCAAGTGTACATCTAGCTCCATGAATTTACACAAAGAAAACACACATGTGTACCAGATCAAGATAGACTTTACCAACATCCCAAAAGTTCCCTCCCACTCTTTACCTGCCCAATTTTCCACACAGCAAATACTATGCTGATTCTATGTCCATAAATTAGTTGTGCCTGTTTTTGAACTTTATATAAAGAAATCAAAGTATGTACTCTTCTGTGTCTGGCTTCTTTTGCTTAACATTATATCTGTGAGATTTATTGATATTGTTACAAGTAGCAACGATTTGTTTTTTGTTTTTTTTTTTTCATTGCTAGTATAGTAATCTTTTGTGTGAACATACACAATTTGTCTATCCATTCTATTATCCATACCCACCATATATTACTGGGGGGTATCTGGGCTGTTTTGTTTTGGGACCATTATTAATAATGCTGCTATGAACACTGTAGTACATGTCATTCAGAATACACATACCTACTAGAATTGGTGAGTCATAGAGAATTTTTATGTTCAGCTTACTGCCAAACCATTTTGCAAAGTGATTGTACCAATTTACACCCTACTAGAATCCAACTGTTCTGCAACAGAATCCTTTTAAATTAGGTTCAAATAACTGAACTGGTACATTAATAAATATATAGGGTTTTAGTTTTCAAAGGGTTTGAACCTCATTGTAGGTAGGATCTGACTAATTGAACAATTACACTGCTCACATGTAAATTTAACCAAAACGCTTAAATATTAGTTTATCTATCACCAAAATAAAATCAAAGTCTAATTTTCCCCCTGACAACATAAATTAATTTATATAGGCTTAACTCTTAAAGGATAATACAATTCTCCCAAATTTATCATTGAACACAAAACCAACCTATTATATTTCTAGAATCGGCAAATCTCTGCATGAAGCGTGAACTGGTGAAGAGCAATTCAAACATTCTCTCAGCACTGATATGAAAAACACGGTTGATATAAAGTCTTCCATGAAGATCTTTCTCAGGCATATTTTCTGGGGAAACAACAGCAAAAGGAAACAACAACAAAAAACACAGGACTGAAAGGGAAGAAACTAAGGAATGGTAATTTCAAGATTTTGTTTTTGTTTGTTTGTTTTGGCACAAAATGGTTTTTAAATGTGATTACAATGATCAGCACATTCCAAAACACTATTAAAACTCTAAATTGGCATTATATACATATGTACTGTATATAATTATACATAATATATATTTAATTAAACCATATATGATCAATATTTCAGTCATCAAAACCCTAAAGATATAAAAATATTTAACCTGAATGATATCAAACTCTTGTACTACATCACTCAAAAGAATACTTCAAAAATGATAAGGTTAATACTGGGATATATAGGGATGTATCTACCACAGCAATTAGCAGGTCCTATTTCTGAATGGTCATACATTCAATAGATATTAAGTCACGAGTGGCTCTAATATCTGCTGCACTCACCAACTTGGTAGCCTGAATAACGTTTCAAACCTGACTTAAAGCCACCTGCCCCAAGACAAGTCTTATCGTATTCACAACCTATTCTCAATACCATACGTTAAAAGAACTAAGAAATCCTTCTGAAAAGTATTCTTCAAAGCTAAGTAGAGCCCAGTGGAATATTTAATTTTTCTGGGAACCTGATAATGATGATGATGTTGAAAACTACCAATAGCAAATGAAGAAGCAATATCTGCTCACCTCTCCTCATATTCCCTGGAAACATTATATAAAGTAGCCCATGCTTCTATGGTGCTTACCATATATCAGGCATTGTACTAAGCACCTTACAAGTACCCATTCATCTTATCCTCGCAGCAATCCTGTGAGATGAGTGGTATTATCATCACCTTCATTGTATAGATGAGGAAACTGAGGCAATGAGAGAGAATTGCCAAAGCTCCATGGCTAGTGAGTGACTGAAATGGAATTTGAATTCACTACAGCTCCAGGGCAACACAAACTTAACCTCTATTTTATTGCCAGGAGTTTAACTTAAAAGA